GTCCTGCCTGTTACTCGATATGAGTCATCAACCTTATCCTCTTGCAAACGATATTCAATATTTGCATAAGAGTTCATTCTCTACAGATCGTTCCTCTTACCTATCGATTATTTAATCACGACCAGATCTACGTTCAAATTTCACCGCGAAATTACTACTACTTTTTGTCCTACTAAATTACTACTATTTTTCTCCAACATTTTGATCCTCCTCATGTTTATCAATTTATTCTAATGAGTTTCTTTATTTTTTTATTTTACGATTAACATATACTAATTTATAGAGAAATTTAAGAATTAGATTCGCGAAACTTAAATTCGAAACTTTGTCGAAAGACTGTGAAATTTTCGAATTCTTGAAAACATTTTTTTTCTTTTATTTTCTTTTTTTTAAATTAATTAATTAATTTATTTATTTATTTATTTGAGAATTAAAAAACTATTTTTTTCTTTGAACTTCGAAAATTCTTCAAAAACTCGTAAACAATCAACAGTAAAAATAGTTTCCCTTTTGGTTTGCAAAATATTAAATATTTATGTTTTATTAAAAAAAATTCAATTCTATCCTATCACTCGTAAGAAAGATTAATATTATAGAATTAAATGGAAAAACAAAGAAACCTTGCATGGTAGTGATTAACGGAAACTCCATAATCTAGGTTCGGTGCACGCAATCCCATTATCATCGATCAAATGTTCGTAAGTACGCAACCACTCTTGCTAGACTGACTTGCTATTCTGTGAACAATAAAATTGAAAGTTTTAAAGATTCGTAACTTTGGATATACTGGAAAATATGTAATTAATGCAAAATCCAATAAATCAATCTTTCAACAATATATCATATCTAATTTTAATAGTAAATGAAGATTGGACGTACTATAAAAGAATTGTAAATGCCATAATACCATTTAAATACTCCTATTCTAGTAATAATATAATACTTACAAAGAGCCTTATAGGACTACTCGTGAGAATATCAAAGATTTAGGCAGAAATGGTGATGAAGACGGTCATTAAACTCTTGTAACTTGTTGTTCGCGTTGCAAGCGTGGGCAACGAACTTCTTTTGGAAACTCGATATTTATAGAAAGGCAATAGGTTGACGTCATTCTCGGACTGCACCTATAAGTGCATCCTTTTCAGTGCCGTCTGTTCCTGCGTTATGTTACTTCGAAACCCTAAGTGACGATGCAAGTAATGTTCAAGAGTTTTGCTAATATCTCACGGTATATATTTATTACAACTCTGTTAAACAATATCTATCATGTGGACACTGATTATTTTTAACATAAGTCAAACAATTTTAGACATTTTAAAAAATCTTTAAAACTTCTGATATTCATTATTAAATATTTTTTCTCAATTTCAAAAGAGAAACTATTAATCATTGTATATGATATAATAATTATCAATAACATAACGAAATGTAAAAAATTCTTCAGTCTGTCAAACTTATTAATTTCGTATAGTCCAATGTTTCCCAACCAATGTATTGCAAAGGTATATTTACAATGTATTTTAAAAGTGTTCATTAAAAAATATCATTAAACATTTCTTTTTTGTAATTATTAAATTTAATTGTAATTATTATAATTAAAATTAATTTTTTTTGTCTCGTGAAAAAATCTCGTGAAAAATGATGTAGTTGTGTAATTTATTTTAAGACCTATATTAGCCACATCAATTTCATGATGTCATCGATCTAATCGTTATTCGATCTCATTTCAATTATATCGATAACTGTTGGCCAATGATATAGAAATAGATTACTTTTATAGTTTGTAATTACATGATATTATAGTTAATTACTTGTTATTTAAATATTATAATAAACATTAGAAATGTTGTAATATTAGAAATGAATTACAAAGAAAAGTAAGATATTTAATATATGCAAGTAAAAAGAAACATTTGAAAGATTGCTAATTACTAATATTTATGCACATTTTCATTCAATTGTTAAAATATCCAATTAAAATAATAAAATTTCTTATTTTTATTTACTAAATTTGTAGATATAATAAAAACGAAAAATATAAATATTGAAAAAGGAAATATTAAAATCACTTTTCGAATGAAATTGATAATTTTTAATTTAAAAATTACTAATATTATTATTTTATTTATTTTTTTCTAACTTTTCGATTTCTATTTTTAATATATTCTTAATATATTATATAATATAAAATTATAAGTTCAAATTCAGAATTCTTTGCGCTTCCTTAAAAATGTAACAAACATCAATGTTCTCTTTCAGAAAAAATCATTTATTTTACTCAGATGAAAAATATTCATAAAGCAAATTACTATGAGAATAGTAAAAATAAGAGTTCGAGAAATTATATTTTTGTTATAATAAAATAAGCTAATTTCATAATATAATTTCATAATAAAAAAAAGGAAAGCAAAATACAATGATATAATGTTTATATATACAGTA